TTGTCAATCTAGAGTTCAGAATGCAACATAGAAATGTGATCAATGTCTAGTATTCCTTCATTCTTATTTCTCTTCTTTAAAGTTGGCACTTTATCAATGCCATTTTCATTAGCTATTAGTCCAAATCTTGGCTCAGGTCCATTTTCAGTGTAAAACAGTAGGACAGAACTTTTAGCTCAGAAATATGGGAAACTTTTCAAATTCCTCAGACTAAGAATAAATGTACTGAATCTCATGGAATCAAACCCCGGCAGAATCTGGATTGTTTTGGGTGCTGTTTGTGTCCACACGTTTTGACTTAGAATGATCCAGCCTACCCCTTTTCAGAGCTATCTCTATCCTTTTTGGCACAGAGATAAGGCTACAGCTTTTTGGCATGATTCAGAGTGCTCCTAATTAGCCCACGCAAATGGTTAGTCCACACCAAAATAAAACTGTGGCCAATAGTACCCAAGGTGATAACCAGACCACGACTTCTCCTGTCTGGATATGCCCTCAGTTCCATTGGACCAGTCCTTCAAACTGACGCCTCTTGTACATTTATAATGCATTCTTTAGTCAATTGAGCTAATTCTGGGGGCATGCCCACCCTGAGATATAAAGATCTAACTCAAAGCATGCATACCATCTCAGCATAAGGCTATTCTGGAGGAGAGATGCATAGAATCTGTACAGGAAAAGAGAATATATAATGAAGCCATTTCACTATAGTGTTCTGTTCAGTTGTAAATATATTTGCAAAAATTGCAACTTGTCTGCAAATGAATATCTGAACTTGCATCTCCAGTGAAACCATGAAAATTAAAGGAGTTTTGAAATTAACATAGTTTTAAATCCCTTTTAATGATGAAGAGCAAAATATCAGAACTCAAAGGAAACGACAAGTATACTGAAAATATCATCTACCTTACACTCTCCACAAAAAAAGCAGAACTGCATTTGTTACACATGAAGAATAGCAAATGTGGGAAGATCACTGAAAGTGAATGCCAGTAAAAACATTTACATTTGAAAAGAGCAGGATTCAATGGGAATGCACCCATTGGCACTGCAAAGCAATTTATTTCAACATTTCTGCTGTTAAAAAAAACCCCCACAAATATATAGATGTGGCAAAGCATTTCCTGTTCTTGTCACAACTTTGTTAGCCCCTCCTGCACCTACTACCCAATATAATTCCATCACAGTGCCACAGTAAAAGACACACTTTTTGTTACCTTGTTTTTTGTGCTATTGCAGACATTGACCCAGTTCCAGAACTGTGTCCACCATTTAGAAATGGCCATAGGCCAAGTCTAAGTTTGCTGTCCAGATAGCTCTTATTAAATAAAAAGAGGCATGTAAAAACTACACAACGTGTTGTAATCCAGGAATGGACCAATATTTTCCAGCATCTAGGTCTATTCACAGGAGGAAGTTGTACCTCATGGATGTCTGCCTGTCAAGAGAATGCCCGAGGGGAAAACAGCAATCCTCCTCAACTCTACTTATGATGATGTCCCATATTTACTCCTTGAAACTACTGCTTTCAGGTTTTATACAGTTGCACATGCAATTGTGTTACTATGAGATCAGAAGCTGTCTTTCTGCAATTAAAACCAAATTTAGGCTGGGGATATTTTTGGGTATATATAAGGAATAAAATGAAGGGAAGGAGTTCCTGTTGCACAGGGGTGGGCTGTGCATGAACAAGTTTCTGGATGACATGGCTGGATGTAAACAAGTCATGTTTCTTCACAATGTGGTTTCTAGATCTCTCTCTGGACATAGTGCGTGGCAGATGTTACAGACTGGTGGAGCTATTGACAAGAACCCAGGGACATACACATATGAAAAACCAACCACCTTGCTGGTCCCCAGTTGAACCCAGCTAGCCTGTTGTGTGTTACCTGTGTTTTCATATATCAGGAGAGGTCCTGAGAGAGAGAGAGAGAGAGAGAGCAGTCCTGAGCATTATATATATGAACAGATTCTGATTGCTTCAATGAACGTGTCACAAGCTCTTTGATTTAGAGCATGGGCATCATATGATTTCCACACTAGAATGGCTTGAGGTGGGAGAGGAAGTCACTACTGTTGCATTTCCAGGTTAAAGTGCAACTGGTGGGACAGTGGATAAAGAACGTTAATCAATAGGATAGTGATATGAGAGTCTTCTGCATCTGGAGATAGTGAAAGTGTCCTGTACAAATTCCTTTTTAAAAATTATATCAGCTATGCAAAAAGAAAATTGTTAACCAGCTTGGCTTGAGCTATAAAATTGTATTTCAGTAATTAGTTTTGTGATCTGGAGAGATAAATGGGCAGACTTGTCAATTCTTTTCTGATCCACTGATTTGCACCCCAGCTTCACCCTGTCCTGTCTGAGATACATATACTGTACATTGCCTTCTGCATCTAAATAAAATGTTCTATTTCCATTAATAATAGTTTTACATGTGATTATGATTGCAGGAGCACAGATATTTAGTAAATAGGGCTACCTTTAAACAGAAGTAGAAAAATCAACTGATTCAAAGTGCAGTTGAAAAGCTTTTGGCCAGATCTGGTTATATAACGCCAAAGCTTCTGGTTTCCCAAACTCTAACAGTATGAAAATAGCTTAGGAGCATGGTAAAGCTTGCCTGCTTTTTTAGGTCACCTGGAAAAGTCCTGTTGAAGCTCTTCTGATATCAAAATTTAAATTACCAATCTTGTGTAATAAATGTTACTGAAAGTTTAAAGAAAATCTACCTCTAGAATGCCTGTTTTGCTTTCTCTCTGAAAAAGTTCTGCAATAAGATTGCCAGGTGAGCAGCATCAGATTGTCTGAGATTTCAAGCCAAACCCTGAGACCAGCATAGGGTGAGGGGTGGGGGTCAGGTCTTTGTGACACCGCAGATATGATGAAAGTAAAAAAATGATCTTGGTTGCTTTTCAAAAAGAGGCACATCTAATTCTCTTTAAAACTATCTCCCTTCTGAGTAAAATGGAACTAACCTCGGGGTGTATAAGGGATTCTCTTTCACTGAGGAAGGCCCCGAATCGGTCATTAGGCAGAATGAGAAAACCATCTCACAGAACAGATCTTGGAGAGGTGGCAATTAGAGATTGTGTATGTCTGTGTGTACTCAGAGAGTATGACTTAATAAGAAGCTGATGGCATATACTGTACTAAAATCCAGGTCTATAGAGCTGAGCACACTCCTGTACTGTCATGAGTCCTGGACCCTTTGTGCATGGCAGGAGAGGAAGCTGAACACGTTCCATATGCGTTGTCCCCAACGCATTTTTTGTATCACCTGGCAGGAAAAAAGTTCCAAATAGAGTAGTCCTAGAACAAGCTGGAATTTTTAGCATGTATATATTACTGAAACAGCGATGTCTATGTTGGCTTGGGCATGTCATGAGAATGGCTGACAGTCGGATTCCAGAAGATCTCCTGTATGGAGAATTAGTGCAGGGAAAGCGCCCCAGAGGGAGACCACAGCAGTGCTACAAGGATATCTTCAAGTGGGATCTGAAGGCCTTACGAATGGACCTCAACAGATGGAAAACCTTTACATCTGAGCATTCAGCCTGGAGGCAGGCGGTTCATCATGGCCTCTCCCATTTTGAAGAGACCCTTGTCCAGAAGGCCGAGGAAAAGAGGCAGTCTTGAAACCAGCAAAATCAGGGAGCTGGACAGGGGACAGATTGTATTTGTCTCCAGTGTGGAAGGGGTTGTCACTCTCAAATTGGCCTTCTCAGTCACACTAGATGCTATTCCAAGTCCTCTATTCAGAGCATGTTGCCATAGTCTCTCAAGACTGAAGGATGCCTAATCTAACTCAGTTTCCTTTTCCTACAGGAATCTTACCAGGCCCTTCATTAAACTTGGAAACAAACAAATCTTTCAGAGTACTTTTGTTTTGGAGAGCTGGTGCTTAGAAAAGAGCATTTCGGGTGTGCCGAATTGGGAAACCACAAAAGACTCTGAAACAAAAACAGAGAGCCTGTTTTGTGGGGTTTTTTAATTCAGATTAATACAAATGTCCCATACGTCATGGTAACGTTCTTATCTTGGAAGACACTGATGTTCATGTTACTAGTTCTGCACTAGTTTCAAATCAATTAGTTCCGTATGATACCTTGATGCCTTTAGTTGTAGTGAATGGCATTATCCAGTTACCAATGTTTAAATAAAACTCAGGTGCCAGTACAGTGGTGCCCTGCTTAACGATTATCTCGTTTAATGATGAAATCGCTTCACGATGTGTTTTGTGATCGCTATTGCGATCGCAAAACGATGATTGAATGGGTTTTTTCATTTCATAATGATCGGTTCCCTGCTTTGGGAACCGATTTTTTGCTTTATGACGATCACAAAACAGCTGATCGTCAAGTTTCAAAATGACCGCCCACTGTTCAAAAAGGCTCTCCGCTGTGCTTAGGATGGATTCCTCACATTACAGGCACCAGAAAATGGCCACCCTATGGAGGATCTTCGCTAGACGCTGAGGTATTTCACCCATTGGAACGCATTGAGCGGTTTTCAATGTGTTTCAATGGGCTTTTTACTTTCGCTTGACGACTATTTCGTTCTACAGTGATTTCGCTGGAATGGATTAACATCGTCAAGCGAGGCACCACTGTACTAGTGACTGATGTGTGTGTAGTGGGAGTGGTGAAGATATCATTTTCATTCTTTGCTTCAAATAACTAATGTCTTGGATGTGTCTGCATGGAGCTTTCAGGAACTGGAATGCAACCCAAAGTCTCCTCTATGAACACTGTCAACCAGTCTTTGAAAGATCTATATTCCCTGAAATAAAACAAACGAGGCCTTACAGCTAAATGAATGAACAATTACAAATGGAATGCTAGGGAAGTTAATTTGATTAGTGATGGCAGATACAGAAAGAGACCATTGTTAGTGTCCTCTATAGATGTTTTCTGCCACAGCCAACTAAGCCCATAATGATGGGTGGGTGGAGGTAAATATATACTGGAATATGAAATGCTTTATTTTATTTTTCTAGGTTGGGTTAAATGCGGCTATAAAGGAATCAGAAAGAATGGCTGAAACTCAGATCTCGGTAAGAGAAGATGTCTCAATGAACATTTTGCCTCATAACTGTATTTAAGCAAACATGGTTAATCTCAAAGCCAGATAAATAAGTCCAGAAATGTTCCTGCAAGAACATTAAGCAGGATTCAAAACAACAACTTCTTATTGTTATATTAAGAGGCCAACATTAAAAAGAAAAATAGCAAGGGGGGGGAATGGAAATGGGGCTCCAAAAAGGAAATTTCTTATCTCTACAATATTATGTCGTCAAGTTGATTTTGACTTGATGTCAGAATCATCTTGATGGCCCTTGCCAGAATTTTCTGTACATAGAGTAATCAGAAGTAGGGTATCATTTCCTTCTTCTCTGGGTGCCCTGGGACAGTGCATTTTGCCCAAGACTATAGAGGCTAAAGTCAGCAAGACTAAACTCAGCAGTGGCCAGAGGATTGGAAAAGATCAGTCTACATTCCATTCCCAAAGAACGGCAGTGCCAAAGAATGCTCCAACTACTGTAAACTTGCACTCATTTCACATGCTAGCAAGGTTATGCTCAAAATCCTGGAAGGTAGGCTTCAGCAGTATGTGGACCGAGAACTCCCAGAAGTACAAGCTGAATTTCGAAGGGGCAGAGGAACTAGAGACCAAATTGCTAACATTCGCTGGATAAGGGAGAAAGCCAGAGAGTTCCAGAAAAACATCTACTGTACTTCTGCTTCATTGACTACGCGAAAGCCTTTGACTGTGTGGACCACAGCAAACTATGGCAAGGTCTTAAAGAAATGGGAATGCCTGACCCCCTTATCTATCTCCTGAGAAATCTATATATGGGACAGGAAACAACACTTAGAACTGGATATGGAACAACTGATTGGTTCAAAATTGGGAAAGGAGTACGCCAAGGCTGTATATTGTCTCCCTGCTTATTTTATATGCAGAATACATCATGCGGAAGGCTGGACTGGAAGAAACCCAAGCCGGAATTAAGATTGCCGGAAGAAATATCAACAACCTCCGATATGCAGATGATACCACTCTGATGGCAGAAAGCGAGGAGGAATTAAAGAACCTCTTAATGAGGGTGAAAGAGGAGAGCACAAAAATGGTCTGAAACTCAACATCAAAAAAACTAAGATCATGCCCACTGGTCACATCATTTCGTGGCAAATAGAAGGGGAAGATATGGAGGCAGTGACACATTTTACTTTCTTGAGCTCCATAATCACTGCAGATAGTGACAGCAGCCACAAAATCAAAAGACACCTGCTTCTTGGGAGGAAAGTGATGACAAACCTAGACAGCATCTTAAAAGCAGAGACATCACCTTGCCGACAAAGGTCTGCATAGTCAAAGCTATGGTTTTTCCAGTAGTGATGTATGGAAGTGAGAGCTGGACCATAAAGAAGGCTGACTGCCGAAGAATGGGTGCTTTTGAATTGTGGTTCTGGAGGAGACTCTTCAGTGTTCCCTGGAGTGCAAAGAAAACAAATCTATCCAGTTTGAAAGAAATCAACCCCGAGTGCTCACTGGAAGGACAGATCCTGAAGTTGAGGCTTCAGTACTTTGGCCATCTCATGAGAAGAGAAGACTCCCTGGAAAAGACCCTGATGTTGGGAAAGTGTGAAGGCAAGAGGAGAAGGGGATGACACAGGACGAGATGGCTGGACCATGTCATCAAAGCTACCAACATGAATTTGACCAAACTCTGGGAGTCGGACATGACTTAACGACTAAACAACAACAACAACACAGAGGCTATCTTTTCTTCTGGGACAGTGGGGAATAGAACTCCCAAATTCTCTCTGATATCCTATTTACTCTCCTTGGTATCCTATTCACTATGCTACCCAAGCAGCTTCTCTCTCTCTAGCTGGCACTTTTGCCAATCAATGTATATCATTGGGGATTGGACAGGTTGTAGCCCTTTAGAGGTTGTCAGATTGCAACTCCCCTCAGCATGGCCAATGGTAAAAGATTATGGCAGTTGCAGTCTAGTGACCTCTGGAGGGTCACTAGTTGCCCCTCCCAATGGTACACAACAGTGAGATACGTAGGTCAACAATTTGACTCGATACAAAGCAGATTCTCATGTTCCAAAATTCCTGTTACACTTTTACACACCAGTATTCACCAATTCCTTTAAACTGAGGTGTGAACAGAGCAGATTGTGTTGGATGAGTCTGATTGAAGTCTGTTGTATTGATGCACTGTATTGTGTGTTTGCAATGCAAATATTTTTGCTGTTTGCAGAAGAACTATGATATTGTTTCTTTCCACGTTATTGCTGTGAAGCTGGTCATAGAAGTGAAAATTCAGTCTACTAATTAGCCCCTGGGTTAATGCTAAGCAATTATGTCAAAGCAATAAACATTATGTTTTAAATAAGCACTTTCAGTTTAGATGTAGAAACATTATAAAAAATACCTGCATTAACTTCTCTGTTAATTATTACTACAAATTAGTTGCATAGGGAAGGCACACATGATTAATATAGTAGAATTATATATTATTAAGTTCCCAGTGAGTGGGTGAACTGCTGTGGAAGAAGCTAGAGGAAGGTTCAGTCTGTCTAAAATGTGGTGTGTTTGAAGTTAAGGCAACTGTAAAGTAAAGCTACTTAAAAATACAAACTGAAAAGGAAAGGAAGTGTCTTTACCCTACTTACAGAAAGGTTGAGACATACATATGCCAGAGAGTAAAGAAATACTGTGCTTTTTACTTATTTATAGTATGAGCTTCTCCCTTTCAGACTGGCTTGCCTTCCTTTCATAAGCCCTGTTCAAAGGATTCTCATAATGTAGAAAGTCATCACTCAGTCTCAGGATGATAGCAGCTGACATCTCATATGTCAGGGTTTCTAAAATCCATGGCAGCTCATGGGGCTTTGAAAATCCATCCCTCTGGTTAAATCTGCATCAGCAGGGAAGTTAGTCTTCCATTTTTTTCTACAAGTTGCTTCTTCAAAATCACTTGTAAGTAGTTTTCTTTTAATCATGTTATGTGGCTTTAAATGTTCCAGTCCATAGTGCTAGAGGAGGTGTCTGAAGTCAGCAGATGGATTATGTCATATAGTATTTTGGTACGGTAGCTGAGTACTTAGGGTTGGCTTCTACCCAGAATGATGGTGGTAATGATGATGATTATGATGTTATACCTATGAGAAGATATAGTTTTAACCTTGTGTAAATTGTCCAGGGTAGTGCAGTTTACAAACAAACAAACAAACAAACAAACAAACAAATAAATAAATAAGATGCTTCACTTTTTATTGTATCAGTGTGTTTTAGAGAGCTCCCAGTCGTATGACTGTTTTGGTTTTTCTTTTACAGATTATTACAGCAAATATACAGGTTTCATTTTTTTTTTGTTGGAAATTTTAATGGAAGATGATCCGTGTTTTCATGTTCTCATAAATCCTTTTCCAATATAGTAAAATGAACCCATGGCTGATGGACTGGTCATTTAAAAAATAAAAGTAAATTATATACTGTATGCACAGTTTGTTTAAAAAGATATTGCTGTTGGTCAGTTTCAGTATGTATAATAAAAACAAAACAAAAACATAAGTCTTGAAGACTGATCTATTTATTGCAGTGTACATTTTGAGGATTCTGATCCAGTCTTTCTGACTCACGGAGCACAACACTTCATTCATAGGTTTATATGCACACTATACAGGGGTACAGGGACAAGGACAGAGTGAAATAGAGACCTGTGTCTTTTTTCTTCTTCTTAAGAGACAGTATCCATTCAATGAAGCAAAAAGAGTGATGCCCAAGAACAATGTCAAATCCAAGAGAGAAAGGGGTAATTGCTGTATTGTCACTTAATGCTGCCAAGTGAAACCACTCACATTAGTGAGTTCCTTTTCATGATGAACAATCATACTTCCCTTTCACAAACGTTGTGAGACGAGTTCCTGAACAATCATAGACTTAAAACAGACTATACAACATGAATGCAGAAACACTGCTAGAAATGTAGAAACTCTGCCCCAACATGTGCTTTTGGGGCAGCAGTATAGTTCCCAACAACATCAGAGACTCATTTACTTGTTCTTCTCCCAATGTGTTATATGGTATCATCACTCAGAAATACCCCTCTGCATTCTACATTATACAAACAGAACACTCTAGCAAGAGGATAAATGGATACATATCAGACATTGGAAAGGGTAATGCACAAAAGCCAGTGTCAACAAATTTCTACAGTATACTCTGTCAGTGATCTTGAAGTGATCATTACAGAGAATTTTAGTATTAAAGTTGAATTTTGGAGGGACATTTCAAATGTATCCATCTATTTGTCTATCCATCCATCTATGTGTCCATCTGTCTGTCAGAATGACTCTGGATGCTGGAATAAGCAACTGCTCAAAAGACTGAGTACATGTACCATGGACCTATCTGTAAATATACATGTGAATGGCTAACTTCTGTAAAGATTCATGATGGATGCACACAATACACCTAGCCACATCCAAATCCCAACTAATGAACAAACCGACCAAACAAGAACTTTATACTATGTGGTTAGGTCATGCCTTCTGTATGCAAGACATTTCCATTAGAATTATTTTTTCCTTGTGTACAGAAAAATCCATTCTGCTTATTAAATCATTCAGTTTAATATCTGAAAAGCCTAACTCAATGGCAGCATTTCTTATCAGGTAGATGATAATATATATTTATTCACTTTACTAACTTTGTTAAGGTGTTAGCTGATAATGTTTCACAGTCCATGTGCATTTGTTTATCAGGTAGGAAAAGCAGTCATCATTACCATGTCCCACCTACCACATATCTACTTTTAAATCTGTGTGCTGAGAAAGTGATGTATGACCCATATGAACTAATAACCTTTCTTCTGCTTTTAGGAAACCATGCATGGGCTATCAGGCATATGCTCACTTCCTTTTCTGAAGGACTTGTGTAAAAATATTGAAAAGTATGTACTATTTGCTTCATTTTTTAAATATGTCTCTAAATGACTCTACAATATGTTTTACTTCGCAATAGAAAAAGACGTCCTGTGCAGAAGTGTTACTTGACATGATAGATTCCACCCACCACCGACCCATCGAGAAAAGCTTAATGTTCAACGACAGGGTTGGTTCTACTGTTAGGCAGAGTAAGACATCCATGCAAGTAACAGAATGTGGGAGTTGCGAAAGATCCATAATGTGTTTGTTATTTAATTTGCTATTATTGCATTTTATTGTTAGAATAAAAAGAAGCACTTGAGGAATTTCTTGCCAAAATATTTTGCTGTTGTTGTTTTGGGCACCATGAATGTTGACTTGGGTGGGTAGGTGGGAGACTGTCTCCTACTTGGCATTTGGCAATAAAATGCAGTGCTCTGGCCCTGCCCAGCAATTTCTCCTGGCAAAAAGGGGTCATCAGGGAGTTTTAGTCCCTTTACCTCCATCACACATGCTGCTCCTTTCCCCTTTCCACAACATCCTCTGGCACTGATGCAGGAGCCTTGTGGCGCAGTGGTTAGACTGCTATACTGTGCTCATGACCCAGGATTCAATCCCAAGTGGTTGGCTCAATGTCAACTCAGCCTTCTTTCCTTCCAAGTTAGGTAAAAGGAGTACCCAGCTCATGGGGGGGTGTAGCCTGCATAATTAACTTGTAAACCACCCAGAGGGTGCTTTAAGCACTATGAGGCAGTATATAAGCAGCACACTTTGCTTTTTTTTTTCCTTTACATGACTGGGCTTACCTTCACAAAGGTGCAAGACTAACCATTTATTGCTTTTTCATGTCCCCCATAATCAGGCAGCAAATGGATACTTATTTAATTTATTTAGTTTGTGCTGCCAGGAGAGGTGTATTATGAGTTTCCTGCCTCAGGACCTACACTAACTGTAATAGCCTTGGCTATTGTGTTAATTTTATAGGATGGTGCTATTTTTTGGTCTGACTCTAGGGAAAATATGTCTTGGGCCACCCACAGTCATTGTGGCCATCCTGGCTGGTGGACTATGGGATGTTTGGCTCCAAATGGTAACTTTTTGAAAGCTGTGTTGCACCATATTTACAATGAAGCTGGGCAGTTATTGCTACCAAGCCATCCACAGTTCAGGTGGCAGGTGATGGTAATGGTAAACTAGTGAGGAAAGAGAAGCATGGACACTTGCCTTCCATAAGTGATAATGGAGTCACTTTTTAAGAAAATGCAGTAAAATTAAAAGAAATCATGTAAATGATTTTGTTCAGATACCTTTCCAGGATCTGCATATATATGCATAAGCTAGCTATTAAAATGTCATTAATCCTACTGTATTATTACATGGACTTCATTGAAAGTTGTTCAGCAACTTTGTAAAATTCATTACTTTAAAAAGAAAAACAGGAACGACATGCTTTTCCTTCCTCCTGTACAAATTTCAGTAGTTTAAATAATTTCAATATCCATTCACTTGGAATTGCTCAGATAAACATATACAGAATTTTACAGTTAGCCACTTCTTGGGTGTGCAGATAGAATCCAAAAACAATACATGATGTTTGAAGTCTATTGACTCCTTTGCAAAAAAATTAAGCAGTACCTTTTGAAATTAACAGAATAAATTTCTTGACACTAGCCATGACTATTTAGAAGCCATGATCCAGGCTTCCCTGCAGGTGGCTTTTTTTTGTCTGGTGACTCCATGAGGCTAGGCAGCATGGCAGCTACCCTCTTGGCCTGATGGTTGTCTTCCCAGCCTCCCCTGAGGTCATGCAGGCATGTTTAGCCAATCAGAGGTGGTGAGAGGTGAACCGGAGAGGTAGGATTTTCAATTCAGTCTGTCTGTCAGGTATAAATTGAGGTGCAATCTCTGCTACTGGCCTTTCTGCCCAGAGCTTTTCCCCACCCACCACTTCTTCTGTGTTCAGTAAAATGGTTATCGGTCAATCTGCCTTTTGTCACAGCTTTGTTGAGAGTGTTTTTTGGGGCATGAGGATGGATCTAGGTGTAGAAGAGGAACCCCACAAAGGTGGCATTCTCTCAAGGTGGTTTCCCTTCAAGGGGGTGGGACAACGAGGCCATGCACACACCCAGCTTGGGGGTTATTACACACTCCCATCCGCTGATGATAGATGAGGCCATTCCAGACCTGTTACCTTGCTTACCATCACTTGGCAGTCAAGTCAGCTGGTGCAGGGTCCATCTTCCACGTTAGAGTTAAGGTTCATTTGCAGCTCTAACCAATAAAGTTGTGGTAAGTTTATGCCAAAAGATGGTTCTGTGTGTGTGTGCGTGCTTGTGTGCGCACCCCAATCCCCAGAGCCATTAGCCTTACCCAACAAGCTTATGGTTGCTTACGATTCTATTGATCTAAATATGACTTGATATGTCAGTAGTCCCTATGTTTTGCTGTGAAAATAGGGTTGCAAGAAGATTACTGGTCTATTACGACAAAAATCTAGCATATGTTTATATCCCATCCATCTGCATCTATAATTTTGTATATGCCGGGAGCTCCTTTGCTTGTTTTCTTCTTAATTTTCTTGGTGTTCCATGTACCACCATTCCAGCATACATCCACTGGTTCCTCTTCAATAGTATAACTTTATGCCTGCAATAGTGCAGTCCTGTCTTGTTTCCTTTATTTGGAACAGGATTACCATCTAGTCAGTTACATTAGAGGCATAGGAATATCCCACTCATCTGCCTTTAGAATAAATACAAATGTAGATGCAGCATAAATGTACTGCCATTTGTTCCCACCATGCTGACATTAATGAGCTTTTAAATCACGTAGCTAGTGTTAGCTTTGTGACCCAGATCCTGTCTTCTATTAGAAGCTGGAAATGCTTTGATATTCCTTACATTCAGGTTATAAATATACAGCATGTGTGGATGTATTGTGGAAATGTCACTGCAAGATTTGTATAATGCCATGTTTTGCTATCTCCAAGCATATCCAAGATGCCAATGCCTACAACTGACAGAATGATTTAGATCTATGTACTAATTTAAGGTGTTTGTAAAGATGATCATAAAAGATAAAGAAAAATAATGGATATGTTATAAAAAGAACAAGAGATGAAAAACTGATAAAAAATATTGATTATAATATCTCTGAACATGCAAACATAGACTTTTACAACTCTTCTAACTCACACTAAATCATTTATGACTCTTGCTGTTGAAACCAGCAGAGGAAAACCAAATGACCAAAAAAACCCTCAAAATGAAATCCCATTTCAGATGAATGATACTGTGTCAGTCAGAGATTTGGATAATACCATTTGTGATGCTAAATTTTAGAGCTTGCTAGTAAAAAGCAACCAAGAAAAAGTGTGAAATTTTTGTGTTTGTGTAAACTAAGGGATGAAGCAGGATTCTTGGGAAATGAAGTCATGTGTCAGTCGTTAAAATGGTTAATCAATTTCTCTCTTCTTAAAAGTCAAAGTTCGAATGCCTTTATAAAAGTCATGTTTCTTTTCTTTCATGTATTTTGCACTCCAATCTTTCAGGAATGCAAAATACAGAGAATTGTGACAATCTCATGTAGGCTAAAATGTGACTGAGGCCCACAGACCATGCAGAGCCATCTAATACGTGTTTATTCAGAAATCCAGTAACTTCAGTAAGGTTAACTAGACTTCATTAAAAGTGGATGGCTGTTTCCCACCATTTTTCCTGAGGTGTGAAAATAGTATGAGCTTTTAATTAAGACCATTGAAGCATAGATATGAATTTCACATCTTTTGCAAATAATGTTTTCCTAGCCCATTAGCTCATTTGCTCATGAGCTTAGACTGATGTGTAAATAGAATAGCATTTATTTGTCATCCTTTCATTACACTATTCCTCCAGGGAGCTCAAAGTAGGATACATGGCTTTTCACAATGACCCTTTTGAGTACCATTTGTTATATTTCATCCCATGGTGATCCTATGAATTAATGACCTCCCTTAAAAAGCCTTATTATAAGCAAATTAAAGGCAATGGCTTTCTTTATTAAGTCAGGCTATCTTGTGTTAGATCTTTCTCTTTTCCTACTAACTTCCATTTTTCCTATTGTGATAGTCATTTCCAGTGCGTTTTGTCTTCTCATAATATGTCCAACGTACAATAGCCTCAGTTTAGTCATTTTAGTTTCTGTAAGAGTGTACTGAAAGTTAGCATGTGATCAGATACAGGTTTAGATTGCATTTTGGAGCACTGACAGCATAGTCTGGTTAATTCTGTTTACTGGTGACCAGACAACATACCATGAACCAGCCAAGCCTTGCTCTGTTCCCTGTGTGGATCTTTTTGGTCAAGTGGCAGGGCTGTCCTTTTTTGAAGCAAGCTGGTGCAATCAGAAACAGATGGAAGGGCCACTTTACAGGGTACTTTTTGAGATTGCACCCTGAAAGCAACCCAATCCAGTGCAGTTTTTGTATCCTTGTCTGATTGCACCTAAGCAAAACCCACTTACATGTCTTTTTGGTAAAAAAACAAAATGAGACTTTGTGCGTAGATGAGACTTAAGAGAGTGATTGGCAAAAGGTCACCCTGCTTGGATCCAGTGTAGGACTTTAATTGCCACACCAGACTAAACCCAGTTTTAGTACCAACAACATGAGAGTCATTAGAATCAACAGAATTTGAACTGGTGTTAACTAACATGTCCCATTCATTTCAATTAGCTTTCTCTGGTTGGGAATAAAACTGCATTTATCCCACTGGTTCTAAAGCTGTAATAGAAGGCAAGGATATGTCCTGGGGGCGGGGAGTCATTTTACTTATGGGAATGGGTGGGTAATTATTTTCAGTTATTTTGGGACATAGAAAATGGTGCAATTATGTTTACACAAGTGCATATACAATATGTCACAAGTGGCAATATAGACAGAGACAAGAAGTTTGAGTTCCTATTGTGTGCTTTCTTTCTCCTTTCTGCTGTACAGTGTCTTTAACCTATAGCTCCTCTCACATTCATCTTCCTCTTTTCCAAGGTCAAATACAATTACCACATGGTTAGAAACAGTGCTTCTTTGAGTGCTGAAATATAGCTGTTTATCATAATGGATGGTTTCAATCAGCTCCAAATTTTGCATTCTATCAAGATGTCTTTTGTGATTGGTCATTGAAAGGTAAACACAGGTTGGGAGATTTTGCAAGTCCATTTGCTCAAGCTTGTATCTGAGGAAGTTATGTTGTTGGGGGGAAAACAGGTTATAAACTTCTGAACATGAGCTGAGTGTCTTGTTCAGCTTATTCAGCTCTGCAACAGGAAGTAACAGAAACTCTCTTCTTTTGCCCAAATATCTAGTTTCCTTCAATATACCATCTCTTTCCTTTTTAAAAAAGGTATTTTAAAATTATTTCAAGCACCAACTTTCATGTATGAGAAAATGTGAGGATTTTTTTTGTTCTATACCTTTCTTTCTTTCTTTCTTTCTTTCTTTCTTTCTTTCTTTCTTTCTTTCTTTCTTTCTTTCTTTCTTTCTTTCTTTCTTTCAAAAAAAGTAATGTCTTGTTTGACCCTGGACTGAGTACATGTAAATATGAATTAGGAAAGGTTGGCATGTATAAAGATCCTTGACCAATTAATTCATTTCAGATATGTGTAAATGAAGTTTGAAATGTTCCTTTCTTGACATTGACCATGCTGGCTGGTGGATTCTGGGAGCTGGAGTTTCAATTCCTTACAATGACCAATAAAGAATTTTTAAAACTCCTGGACCAAAGATCTTTTTATTTTAATACAAACTGCTATTACAGCCAGAATATAAACATAGAATTTGAAACAATAAAGCATACAGAAGAACAGGGGTGGGCAATTAATTTCTATAGGGGGCCACATGAAAAATCTGAACTGTGTTCGGGGGTGGGTATTAATAGGCCCCCAATTTGTGGATAGTAATAGGCCCCCATTGGGTGAGGCCCTATGGTGAATGAACTACAAGGCTGACATAGTTAACTCCCTAAACTTTTTAGGGAGTTAACTATGTGAGTGTTGTAATTCGTTCACCGTGGGCGACGGGAGGAAAAAAACCTGATACTGAACTAACTCACCTGTCCTCCGTTCCCCCGCAGCCTTCCTCGCCGACTGTCTTCTATCCCGTGCAGGCGATGTGATGCGTCACCACATCGCCTGCACAAGGATCGCTTCCGGCCTCTTCAGCCGCAGGCTCCATAGCCTGCAGCTCAAGTGTAACAGTCAAAACTTGCGAGATCCTAGGGTTTTGCTTCTCACAAGTTTTGCTTACTGCCATGCTGGGTGACCAGAGCCAGAGCTCCAGCTCACTCAGCAGCGACGTGCGGGCCAGACTGGAGCAGCTCTCGGGCCATATGTGGCCACCGGGCCACACTTTGTTCAGGTCTGCAGTAGAATGATAAATTGAACTTAACTCTTCATAGAACTTTCAACAAAAATAACTTGTGTACTGTGTTTGTTCTTGTCCTTCCCAGAGTTATCAAGTCTAAGTTACCTTATAAAGACTTTGATGGAGATAAATTCAGTACTTCCCCGGTAAGTAAAGTCATATGATAGCAACATACCAGAGTCCCTTCTAGCATCTATAAGGCCCCTTCTTCTTTTAAAAACCAAACTAATATAGAAAAGCTTGTTCTTTATGGTCCTGAAATAGTGTTTGCTTTATGGCAAAGAAAAAAAATATTCTTTTATAGTCTTTCTGGAGATTTGGTCATGACATTTCTTCACCCTGAGAAACAAATTGCTCTCTCAGAGAGTGTTGTGTTCATTGAATTATTAATAAAAGGTGAAGCAAAGATATCTGAAAGAATAATAAAATTTCTGGGGTGTCTTATTTCTGCATTAAAATGAGCAATGTGTCATTTTTTTCTAAAGATAGTTGTGAGGGAGATGGCAGTCTCTTTTCTCAATTTCTTTTAGTTAGATTTTTATTTTAGATGTTTACTACCTCGAAAAGGGGAAATAACTATGCAACATTCTATCTGTACTTTTTTTTACTGCTTAGAACTTAAGAGGATATTACTGGAGAGGCAGAGACTGTGATGATACAGAGTCCTCTGTACATCCCGGCAGGCGGTGAGAGTGTTCTGTTTCTTTTATTATAATGACCACTCCTTTTAAAATAAATCATGTCATATTGTGAAATAATTAAACCTTGAAAGCCTTTAATATTACAATACAATTCAAATTACCTTGATATATATGGGGTGGGAGAGGAATTTTTGTTCCATCTAATTTTCAGCCCCGCCGGGTGGGGCCCCACTCCCCTGTGCGTATGACTCAGCCCCCCCCCACATGGGGTTCTGTTGTGACTGGAACCAAAGGGGCTGAAAACGATCACTGAGGGTGCATGGAGGAGGAAGAACACTGCACTTGCAGACGCATATATTAGAGCGAACTTTGTGGCAGGAGCTCATGTATGAATTTTCCATGAGGCTTTGTACAGTGAGGAGGTTTGCACAGCTGAAATTCAAATCATAAATATACTGTCTGGTACATTAACGTTTCTCAGTTTCTCTTTCACATTGTTCTTCTGCATTACAGAGAAACATCTAGTAATACAGTTTCTCACTTTCTCTTCCACAAACAGTTGCTCCTAAATTTTTTCTTAAAATGCTTGCCTATTTTAATACTACTTTTTACTCAAAAAGAGGTTAATTTAGCCAAGAGTAAAACTAGAGAAGCCTGTGCTGCAGGGTCAGAAGACCAAGCAGTCGTACGATCGAATCCACTCGACAGAGTGAGCACCCGTCGCTTGTCCCAGCTCCCTCCAACCAGTTCGAAAGCATGCAAATGCAAGTAGATAAATAGAGACCACCTCAGTGGGAAGGTAACAGCATTCCGTGTCTAAGTCGCACTGGCCATGTGACCATGGAAGATTGTCTTCGGACAAAAATGCTGGATCTATGGCTTGGAAACGGGGATGAGCATCGCCCCCTAGAGTCAAACACGACTGGACAAAAATTGTCAAGGGGAACCTTTACCTTATTTCTGTTAATAGAATAAAAATACAGTTAAAACGTTTCTTAAAAAGACTTAGTAACAATAGAAGTTAAAGGGGTAGCAAAAGACACCGAATAAAACATTGGGAAGAACATTGAATAGAATTAAAGCATTTAAAGATATTTTTATGATATATGAGGTAGATTTATTGAATTTCTGTTAATAAGAGGAAGAGGCAAAATCCCAATACAAGGATCAATGCAGTTCTGGAAAGGCGGACAATGAGAAGAAGAGTTCTCCAGAAGGTCCCAATGTTGGTGGGGAGCACGATTATTTTAGTTTGTATCTTGTATTTTATAAAAAAAATTTAAAATAAAAGAATTAAAGCATTTAGTCAATAGCTTGCCTTAAAAGGAAGACCATTACCCTTTTGTAACCATTAGACATTCTTGGAGTGATCTTATTTTGGTAGCAGTTTCAAAGTCTGAGAACAGCTATTGAAAAATCCACCTTCTTGGTCCTAGCTAGATGCATTTTGAAAGTGTTTACCAAGTCTGATGTACAGGACTATAAACTTTTCAAGTTTTTACTTGTTCTTAGATTCTTTAATTTGGTTATGGTGCTTTATCTTCCAGACCAAATTGACATGGCCTTCCACCACATTCTTGTAACTGTGTAACTCTTGACAGAGCAAGGCTAGATTAGGGCAGTAGTTCTCAAACTGAGGTCTCCAGATGTTCTTGGACTGCAATTCCCAGAAGCCTTCACTACTTGCTGTGCTGGCCAGGATTTCTAGATGTTGCAGTCCAAAAACATCTGAGGACCCCCACTTTGCGAATCATTTGATTAGGGGATTTGGCAGCAATCTAGAAGAACAGCTGTTCAACATAGATACTCTATTGCTTTTACACCTTATGCTTCTCTTTCACAATTTTTTGCCATTGCCCAGAGATTATCAATATAGGGCCACCATATAGTTTTATTTCCCTGTCATTTTTTGCAAAATGAGCTAGAATACAGGCATCTTCTGTCAGTGGGATCAAACTGGTTTTCTTTGATCTATAAGAGAGTAAACAGTCCCAGGGAATGTAAATGTTTAGTAAATATGTAAGCTATATATTTTACAATGACTTGGAAATTTGAAGAAACCTGGATGGTGAAGGACTAATGCATACACAGTATGGACTGGTGTAGCAGGTTGTGGTTTCTTCAATACCACCTCTATATCCTCCCTGGAAAGAAAACAGGATGCACTGCTATGCTGACCATACTGACAGAAAACCTTTGGCTCTCTGCAGTCTGGGAAAGGAGTACTTTTGTTCTCTTCTCCCTGGCATTGCGAGACCACTTCAACTCTGCTTATGTTTACAAAGATTTGGAACAAAATATTTTACATTACTATTTGCCTTGCTGATTTAAAACAAACTGCCTACTGCCTGCTTAGTCAATATCTGTGAACTATTCTTAATTTCTTTTTGTTTTTAGCCCTGATAACTGGGATGCCAAGAAGGATTCCAACTGTAATGGTATATGGGTGAGTTGTTCAAGGTTATACTTTAACATTTTGTTCCATTATCTCATCTCCCTACTTTGAAATGAATCTAGCAGTTTTTACTGTATGGACTCTTGAAAGAGTAGGCTTTCCCAGGTCCCAGATGACAAAACCATTAGTGCCTCAACAAACATAACACCATCAGTTCTATCACATCTGACGCTTGCAGATAATGAAACAGTTGGAAAGTCATCCCAGAACATGGAAATATGTTAGATTTATTATGATGTGTCCTTTGTAGACAATACACATCTGTGGACATTCCCCATCCGCAAAGTAGAAGGCAGCTATACCTCATTTTGAAGATTCTCTAAATCAGTTGGGCCCAATCTTACCCCTATAGTAGGTTGAGTTAGCAGAGCCAACAGTGTATGATATTTCTTAGGGCTGCTGGGCATTTTAACCCAATACCATCAAGAGCTCTAAGCTTACCAATAACTCTTTGACCAATTCCAATTACACTTCTTTGCCATAAAAGTGTAAGAAGCTTTAACAGAAGGTGTAGAGTCATCCCCCCCTTCCTCCTCTTCTGTATGGTTGTAGAGCTCCAAGCGACCTATTCCTACTGCACCCACCTCCACGTCTATAGGACAGTCTCCATTTTTTTAAAGGGCTGGCTTCAGGCAAAGCAGGGCCATGACAAGCTAAAGGTCGATTGTTTTGCTATGGATATGCTTCTCTGCCTCAGTGTTCACATGTTGAGGAGCTCGATCTTTGATTTTGATGCTTCGCAAGACAGAGCCATAATTTTATGCCCCGGTTTTCTAGTTGGTATCTCCAACTTCAGATCAATTACAAGAGGCCACATTATTTTGAGGCACTGTCTCTCCCACCACTTCGCAGAGCCTTCACTGAACTTAGATTTCAGCAGATGCTCCTCTGCATATCTCGAAGGGAGATACAAAAGAATTCCAGTTACGGAACACAAATGTGTATTCGGCTGCAACCAGATAGAAGACATAATTCACTATTTATTGTTCTGCCACCTCTATAAGGACCCCAGAGAAAGATTTTTGTTACTTATTATCCAGTCATTCCTTAATTGCATACCATGGAATTAGTATTAAGATTGCTTCCATTACATATGCTGTAGCACTATTTGCATTGGCAGCCAAGAAGCTGAGGTCTGGTTTTCTCAAGGACCATAATGCCGTTTAATTTAATGCTCCATAGTTTAGTTGGATATGCTCAAAGAAGGATACATTTTAAAACATTTAGTTCTAAAATGTATGTTTTTAAAACCTGGATTTTCTTTTTATATCATACATTGCATATTGTAAAGTCCTATCACCATAAAGTTTTGACTGACAGTCTCCTGTGAAGAATTTTTGATAAAATTCTCTTTTGCATTTGGAGCAAAAACCACTAACCTCTGTGAAAGATGAAGCTGAAATTAGTTACATGACAAATAATCCCAGCTTTTATTAATTTTTATTTTTTTGCACTTAGAGCCAATGACTGCTTTTGCCTCAAAGGGCTTCATATGCTAAAAACATTTTTCAAGCTTCTAACAGCATTGCTGAATCTATATGTCAGTGTTGACAAAAGTAAAAGGGAAAAAGAAAATCTTAAAAATGAAAAATACTGCATTTTCATGAGATTCATTTCCAGGTGAGAACATATATAGGGGACATATATTTGCACAAAAGTGGATTTTGATCCATAAACATTCACACTGATATATACCATGTTTCCCTGAAAATAAGACAGGGTCTTATATTAATTTTTGCTCCAAAAAAAGGCATTAGGGCTTATTTTCAGGGGATGTTTTATTTTTTCCCCATGTACAACAATCTACATTTATTCAAATACAGTCATGTCATCTTCTTCTGGTTGCTGCACAATGGTGGAAGGCGGGGTTTCACTTAACTGGGGCTTATTTTGGGGGTAGGGCTTATATTACAAGCACCCTGAAAAATCCTACTAGGGCTTATTTTCAGGTTAGGTCTTATTTTCAGGGAAAACAGGGTGTCTATTAATCTTTAAAATGTTATAGCATTATGCCCCCCCTTTTTTCCCATATTTCCCTTCCTTTTCCTTTTGCCAAGAGGCTGAAATGGACTAGCGTGGCTAGATCTTTGTATATCATCCATGGGAGAGTAGCAGCTAGTAAATTTCTTTTGTGTGACATTTGCATGGAGGTGGTGCATACTGTATTTTGACAAATTAATTGTTCTGGTCAAAATAGCTGTGCAGAACAGGGAGCCGAGATTTCTGTCAATGTCCACTCATTCTACTCTCCAAAATGGCTTGCATGGTAATATAAAGGTCTAAGTGAAAATGGTTATGGAATTGTTGACTCTTTTTTCTGCAGATAGAAAAAAAGTGTGTGGGTGTTTCATTTTGTAGGTGTGAGTAGGTGAATTTCTATACACTGGAACAAATAGTCTTCTCCAACTTCATTGTTTGTAGAAGATTCAGGTCATACTATCCTTGGCTAACACTGTGGCCTACTTAAAAACAAAATCTAGAAGGAAGGGAAATTTTGAAACAATGACAGCACTTTTAAAAGGCCCAATACTAAATGTGCCAATAGTAGCCAACCATGAAGAAACCCTGTAAATCCCACCATTTATTTCAGAAATAAAATGTTTTTCATTTTTTAAAATTAATAGTGATGAACTCTACTGAATTAAAATTCCAATTTCTCATGTTTGACACTACTGAATTAATTTTTAAGCCTAACATTCCAAGCTTTTCATAATCTCAATTTTACAGTGTATTGAGTAGACAACAATAGCTTTTATAAAGCAAGCAGCAACTGACTGCTAATACATGCTTGATTTATTTATTTTTAATTATAGGGGCTGGGAATCACATAGACTTTTTTTTTTTTTTTTTTTTTATGGGAGGTTTAATTTCTGTTTCTTCTCATGGCCCATTGTAGACCATTTGGAAAAAAGAGGGGAATTTCAAAAGTCTTTGTAATATAGCATGGAGGTCTGCTTTCAAAAAAAATCAGAGTTGTAACCAGGCATTCTGAAATTCTTGAGTGCGTCTTACGCAGGAGAACACAACCTGCAATCCTCTGAAGACTGATGAATGGCTTCCTCGATTCTCCCCCTACTAGTTATCAAATTCCTACCACATCAGCCAGAGGACTGAGACTGCTGCTTACCTGCTGTGCTATCAATGAACTGAAAAAAGCATTCCCTATCAGGGTTAGTAGATGAAATATATTTTAGCCTTCCAATCCCTTCCTGGAGGAAGAGAAGTTCACTCATTACCTGGAAGCTGTCTTCCCCCAGCAGTCTTGGACTCAGGGTTGCTGGGATGGGGATGACATTCTAAGTTAACCCTCGAACTCCTGAAAATGGTCCTTAGTATGAAATAGATGCCATTATATTCTTCAAAATTTGGTTTGGATGCTTAGATTCTGTATTTCTATAGCTAAGGCATGTGAATTCCGCTTTTTTTGGTCAGAAAAAATGTTATGCTTTTAAATGAGGGCGAAGGGTCATATACATTTGTCTGCCACTTCTGTGGATCTATATAGTTAGCAGAAGAAATGCCTTATATTAGACATTCCCTACTAGAGACCTTCCAGAAGTGTTGAATGACAGATCCCATCATACTTGGAAATGGAGATTATAGCAGTTGGTGTTTGATTTTTGCTTGTGGTTGGCTTTCCCAAAGGTACGCAAACGGGCATGTAGCCAATTAGTTGAATACTTCCTCATTTTTCACTGATACGAAATATGTGCATAAATATGGGGAAAGACTAGTATGTGTCTGAGCAGAAAATATGTGAAACTTAACTGTCATGTAGGAATCTTGGGGATTATTGCAAAAATCAGAAGATTTTTCTAGGTTTAAGAGCAGTGAAGGTTCTTTAATTATGCTAAAGGAGCTTAAGGAAATAATAACAAAAAAGAGAGAGGTGGGGCTCAATTCTAGATGGAATCTGTGGAACAGAAGAAAAACATGGATTAATTACTAATTATTATTTAGCTCCAGATCCACCTTCAGTCTTGTCTTGAGGAGCCAAAGAGTATCTTTTTTTGAAGATGTAGTTCTTAAAGAACTCAAAAAGCTTCAGCATACTAATCAGCAAAACTGGTTACATTTGAATAAGCAATAAATTGCTGCTGTAATGAACATAAGGATATGGGTTAGGCACTGTGGTTGTCTGGAATAAAAATGAATACCTCCCAGAAGTCTGTAAACAATTCCATAACAAGACACACTATTTGCAAAACTGGTCCATCAGAGACAGCTAAGGAGGAAATACTCCAGATAGCAGATAAGGCTCCTTGGAAAGGGATAGACATAGGAATGCTCCTGCCTAAGGTACATAAAGATTAAATACTGAGTATATTGTGTCATATTGGGACATGTACTTTCTGGGAGAGGTTTTCAGTTGCCCCCAAGGTCAGCTTTGCATTTACACTCAAACTGGAACACATGGTTTTAGTGCACAACACCCTCCTGAATCCTGCCTCTAGCCTCTAAGGTTATTCCTCTCCTTTTATCCCAGGCATTTCTTCCCTGGGACCCACCCTTCCCCAAATTCTCTGCCAGGAAGTCTGCTGCCACCAAGACCACCATTTCCTCCCCCTCCCTCAGGAAGAGAACAATCTTTCTTGCCTGACTCCCACCCTGTCATGGATTCCATGCCCACAAATCACAGGATCATCTTCAAGGAAAGCTGCTGCCAAAGCCATTTCCTACCATTTCCTCCTCATCACACTGTTTCCTATCCTCCTCCTTCCATGGATCCTCTCCTTCTATCTTAAGAGTTCCCTACTGCCACTCATCACCAGATTGTTGGCAAAGAAGCTTGTTGACACACCAGTTTCTTTCCCCTTGCTGGGAGCTGGGCATTGTTGGCCCATTTTCACCAGCCCCTGGATTATGTGTAGGCACAATTCCCTAGTAAAAAGGTCAGAGAGCTGGACACTTGCTCTCTTGACAATATACCAACATAGATCAATATGGGGAGAGTCATAGCAGAGTGGACTTAGTTATTGATCTCTTC